ACTGGGAAAGCCATTTCACTGCATTGTTCAGGTGCCATCTGTCTAACAAGGCAAAGTTGTCTACAGCACTTCACATCTCCTGTGATGAACTTGCATATGCATTGAAAGGGGCAGGAGATAAAATAGAACCCTGTATCTCCCCTCTGCATGAGACAGCCTGGAAGGCACCTAATGCTAACTTCCAACTAATTCCAAATAGAAGACAATAGAACTACTCAAGAAATTCTTTTTCTCCTTATTATGATCCACAAGCATGTCAAACACTATCTCCTGGTCAACAGTATGAAAGACAGCTGATAGCAGAATCATATCCACCATTAAAAGAAGGCTATATGGAGTCCAAAAAATCTGAAAGCTCTACATTCTCCATTAGGTTGGGATTTTCAAATGTGCCTACGTGACTTTGGAATCAATGGGACTTGTACTTCTAAATCATTTGGGTGCTTTTGAAAATTCCCATCCCTTATGTGTTTTTTATGTGTATTTAGAGAAAGGGGCAGTGTTCTTCACCCAAAGAAGTCCAAAGCACTTTACAAATTATAAGTGATTGCTCTATTCACATAGTGAAGCCACCTGTGGGATGCAATGTGAGAGCTATATAGTAACATGTAGCAATACTACACAACAGCAAAGGACAGCATGTTCAGAAAAAAACAAATCTAATTGAAAATGAAAGATGAGTTTTAGTTGTAATGTAATTCTCCAAGCTGGAATTTGGTGTAATACATTTGCTCTGGCAAACAGTAGCAGGGGATCTTTCTTGACTTGAAGCAGTCAGCAGCTCAGTTTTCAGTTTCACATGAAATGCCAACAGCAGCACAGGTTGAGATTCACACTGAGCGCTACAGGGCCTAACCTACAAGCTCCCAGGCACATAGTGGAATTTATAGCTCTGAGTTAGGCATCCAGGTGCTTTATAAAATGCATGAAGAGAATTAGATGCTTAAAATCAGATTCACAAAAACCAGAATGCTGAGCAGGAAGCTGCCTAAGGCAGCTAATAAGAAATGCTGAGTGGAAAGGTGTAGCCTAAGTCTGGAACTGCCAAAGGACTTAGGTACTTAAGTCCAGGTGAGAAGACGACACCTATCTCTGCTCAGGATTCATAGCCACAAACTCTCTCCAACACTTAGGGGCCAGAGCAAGGTCATATATTTCAAATAGCTTGAAAAGGGCTAATAGTGGGTTTATGTGATTTCAGCACATGCCTCCCTGCCTGAACCCCCAAAACAAGTTAGGTGGTAGAACACCTATCTTGTAAATCCCATTGGGATTTAGGTGTGACCTAGCTGCTGGGCTGTGTCAGGACTTTGGGGATAGAGCACCTTGGGAACTTTAACAACAGAAAAATGGACAGAGGCTGAGCAGGGGTTTGTGAATGGCTGTAATGCCAAAATGTTGGCAGTTAAGTGCCTAAGCCTCCTTGTAAGACCTGCCCACAAAGCTATTTTGATGAATTAATTCCATACATATTCATAGAGAAGAGTGCCTGGCTTATGAATCGATAAATGCTCCCATTCATATACAGAACAAGTCCAATTCCATTTAATTTATGGGTCATCCAACGAGGACAGTACAAAGCAGTGTGGCCATAGACAAGTCTCTGATCTACACGTTCCATTGGCATCCACTGGCAATCATGTGCCTGACAGGTCAGAAATATAAGTAGCTGCCCATTTCTGATCTCAATGCTGTTTAAAAGCTCTTGAGAATATTGAATCATAGGCATTGACTTAACTGTCTTTGCCAAGTCACTTTTATCCTTGACCTGAACCCAAAGGATCAATAGGCTCTGGCCATGCCAAAACAAAACAATAAACAAAAAAAACCTATCATTTTTTATTCCAAGTACTAAAAGAGATAATAAAATCTCTATAGTTTGCATTTAGACTCACCCAAAGAATACCGAGTAAGGGTTTATTGAAGAAACGGTATGAAAAACCATGCATAGCCAAAATGATAACATCAATTCTATTTTTGAAATGTACATAAATATACATAAATCTGCTCCCAGGTACTAGGTGTAATGTACATAAATCAGCTTCTAGACACTAGGGCTGTGTCCAGACTCACGGTTTTTTTTGAAAAAAGTAGCCTTTTTTCGAAAAAACGTCACCTGCATCTAGACTGCAGCCGCGTTCTTTCGAAATTAAATCGAAAGAACGCGGCTTTTCTTTCGACGGCGGTAAACCTAATTTCACGGGGAAGAACGCCTTTTTTCAAAAGTGCTCTTTCGAAAAAAGGCGTTCTTGAATGCAAACAGGGGGTTTTCGAAAGAGAGCATCCAGACTGCCTGGGTGCTTTCTTTTGAAAAAGCAGCTTGCTTTTTCGAAAGTTCCGCTTGCAGTCTAGATGCTCTTTTTCAAAAGAGGCTTTTTCGAAAGATACTTTCGAAAAAGCCTCTTTCGAAAGAGGCTTGCAGTCTAGACATAGCCTAGGGGTAATGTTTTCAAAAGTACCTACATGCTCTTTCTCTCTGTGCTGAAGCATATGGTCAGGGACAGTGCAATGGCACAGCTGAAAGTTACTGTGGAAAATGAAGAGAAGAACTTTGTTCCAAGCACATAGAGAAAGCAAAATATTGGAGCTGAGCTCAGCCATGCCCTTCTGAAAGAAAAATTCCGTTCTCCATTTTGAAACACTTTCTTACAAAACGAAATCCAATAAATAGAAAGCAATTTTTAAGAGTGACATATCAGAGGGTTTTTTTAAAGAACACAGTGAAGATGATGGACTTCCTCCATCCACCACTGCCCAATAAAGGGGAATATTGAAACCCTGTCAGGAAGTTGAAGGACTTGTTTGATCCTAAGTTAGCACTGCCTTCGACAACAGCATAAGGCTGATGTCTTTGGCCAAAACAATTTCTGATTCATGACTGAGGAGGCTAATAGGCCCATGAAGTTTTCCCAGGCTTACTACAGATTTATAGATGTCCCTATAATAGAAGATGGAAGACAACAAACACAGACATTTTAGAAAATCTGGATTTGCCTCTTCTCCAGAAAACATACCTGTACGTGTTTAACAAGGCCAGTTAGTAACATGAAGCATCTATAATTAAACTGTCTGTTTCTTTATCTGAGCTGCATGCAGCTCTTGCAGCCAAGTGGATTATTTCAGACACCCACACACAAGGCCCATTGCCATTGACTTCAATGGAATAGCACAGATATAAATGAGGGCAGAATGGCAGGCACATACTGTACACCCATACACACTCTCACCCACACAAACCTGCCCCCTCAAACTCGTGTCATATACATAAATATTCACAGACAGATAATCATGAATGCTCACAAACTTTTACACATTCACATATATATACATCAACACATGCATATTCATACAACTGCACACTGAAAATGTTCACAGGTTCATAAACATCCCATATACATCTATACACACAAACTTCAAGGATATTAGATGGATTACAGAGATGCACACAAATATACACATGAACCTCACCCACAGTCACACACATCACACATGTGCACATACATGTGTCACACATACACTCACACATCTGGGTACCAGTCTCTCTCTCTCTCACACACACACATACACACACACAATCCACTCCCATTATACATATATATGCACATAAAAGCTTCCCACATGCAAAAACACACATACCAACACACGAGCCAGGAGCCCACAAACACCAATACCCAAACGTGTCTCACTCATACAAACACAATACATTGACACAACCATGTGAAGTCACATTTATCAGCTCTCCCTCACACACTGCTAGCTTGGCTTTAGCACGCAGGCTTAGACCACGATACATATATATGCACATAAAAGCTTCCCACATGCAAAAACACACATACCAACACACGAGCCAGGAGCCCACAAACACCAATACCCAAACGTGTCTCACTCATACAAACACAATACATTGACACAACCATGTGAAGTCACATTTATCAGCTCTCCCTCACACACTGCTAGCTTGGCTTTAGCACGCAGGCTTAGACCACGGCTGCCTTCTCTACAACGGGACAACCCCTTCCTCCTCCCCCCCCACCCCGGAAAAATGAAGCAAAATTATCCCCTCTCACTGACGTTTTACTGCCCAGAAATAGGATTCTGTTACAAATGATGGGAAGGAAACGGAGGTCGCCTGACCGCCGGTAGATGGCGCAAGTGCTCTTTCCTTGCAGAACATTAACCCTTTGGACTGAGAAACGTTACTTTCCGTTTATTTGCAAGAATTCCCCACAATTTAGAGGTTTGTTGGATGCTTCAAAAAGAAATTAAGACAAGTGTCTCTGTGATCTATGGACAGGGTGATAAGAAAGGCAGGAGAATGCACTGCAGCCCCCCTTACAGGAGAAAGGAGAGCGACGTTGTGGGCAATGAAAAACTGAGCATTCTTCAGCGAGCAGAACTGTGTTTTGTGTTTGCAAAAATCTCATGATCTTTGAAATACCTTCCTGCAGTTCATTCTGCCGTACAATGCAATGCAATAGTTAGAGGGGTTTTTTTAATGGTCCAGTGCAACACACGTTACTATGAAAGGTGTGTGCTGTGTGCCCCAATGTAGTGTGTGTGTTGGGGGGGAGGGAGATGAGATTCACAGCCTTAAACAATGCAGCCTCCTGTTTAATAATATGCTACGGATTATTCTGTCCAAGCGACAGCAGGATGGATGTATCCTTCTGCATTCGCTCCTAGATGTTCCTTCAGGCGACTGTGAAAACCTCACTAGTGTATTATTCCTTGAGCTGCTTTGCTGGGCAGAATTGATCTTCTCGGGGGAGGGGGGGTAGAGGAACCTTAGCAGCAAATATTGTTTGGAGTTGATTCGGGAGATTGCCTGGGCTTTTCAGATGCTGTCCCTGGGTTCTTGGTGGATGCTTTAACAAGCCCAAATTGTGGTGGCTCTTTGATTATGGAGGTGGGGGTGGCGGGGAGGAGTGGGGGAAGGAAAAGACACAATCGAGAGTAGCTGAGACTTTGTGCCCCTGTTGGAGAGATGGTTGAGTCCTCGTCAAGGTTGCTGTGGTATCCCAGAAACACCATTCACTCTGAGCTGTGACCGCGCACCATCAACAGCAACAACTCCACTGCGCCTGGCCAAGGAATAGGAATTAGGAGCTCTCCCGAATAATATGAAAGGGATCTGCAAAGGGGAAATCCGGGCAAAGGAGTCGAAAATAGCAGACTTTGGGGACAGGGGATGTACTACATGTGGCCGGCTGGACTTCATGCTGCTGAAGAAAATGGGGATTAAAAGTGGATTTACATTTTGGAACCTCGTCTTTTTATTGCTGGTTTCCTATGTGCAAGGTAGGGTGGTGTTTGGGGGGGCATTTTGCAGGGGACCCTTGGCTTGCGGTCTGGGCGTTCTGAGTTCTCGCCTTTCGCAAAGCTTTCACCAGGGGCACTTTATAATTTGAACAAATAAATGATAATTAAAGGGAGGGCGAAGAAGGAGCTGAATCAGAGCTCTCTTCTGAAATAGGAAATGCAATTGCTTGCCAGCCTTGGTGTTCAATGCAGTGACTGAGCTGGGGCTCAATAAATATTCTTGCAGTATGCTCAAACGGATACGTGAGTTGGTTCGTATAGCCTCTAACTAGTGTATATACAAGTACAAGCCCACTGGATGACTTTTCTAGGGTGGCGGGGGGCATTTTTCCCACAGTCAAACAAACGTGTCTTTGCGGGAATGTTTGTATCAATGCACTGATTTGTTTAACCATTCCATTAGGAAAGTTGCAGAGGTGCATGGTGGTTGTGCGTGCGTGTGTGTCTGTGTACCTGTGTGACAGAGAGAGAGAGAGAGAGAGAGGGAGGTGTATCTCAAATTCAGAAAGGCTTTTTCACACTCGTATGTATGCATGCCGAATTCTTTGGATGCAGAAGAGCCGTATTTAGAAAAAAAAACACCTCTCATCTTCGAAGGCATAATATGCCCCTGACTTGAAAAATCGACAGCCCCCCCTTATCTTTGTCTTTCTGTGTGCCTTTTTTGCCTTAATGAATGGAGGATAGGAAGAAAGTCTGTAGTTGACAGTATAAGGATCTGCGTTAAGTCTTTGGGTGCATACAGGTACAGGGAAATGGCATCACAAAAAGAAATGTGGCGTTGGAATATTGTGCACAGCACCTCGAATATGAGGCAGTCTTCACTACATGTTGAAGTGCTAATCCATCCCCACCAAGTGTGCCTTCCTTAAAGGGATCTGCGCTGGGACTCTACGCATCCCGAGGGCCCTTCTCCGATACCCCCCTCCCCACCAAAATTTCTCTTTGTCGATAGATAAATATTGAATTTCGAATTAATCTGCTGCTTACACCCCCTGCATCCCTCTCCGCCACACACACGCGCCCAGAATGTCTAGTAGACAGTATCGATCCTTTCCGAGTTGGAAGATTCGGTTGTTGCCTATCGAGGTTGCTTCCATACCAACTGTATGGAGGTTTTTCTTGTTCAAACGAGTGCCTTCCCTCTCTGGCTCTGGCTTTTATGAAACAGTTGATTGTCGAGCGTTGCAGCTGGTTGTTCCCCCACAGAAAGCAGCTCCATTTGCATCCCGTTGGAAATGATAATTCATGTTTCATGGGGGTGTTGTTGTAGGGTTTACCTCATCGCACGTTATCTCGACACTCTATCTGATGCGAGGAAGCATGCCCGGAATTTTAATGCACATTCTAATTACAGGCAGCCTTCCCGGTGTTTACGTACCTGGCAGCAAGCTAGTCCCAGAGTGTTTGCCCATTTCTGAAACAGTTCTGAGCTTTGGGCTCAGAGATCAGGACCGAACCATGCCAAATGGGACCTTTTATTGAAACGAGCTCGTTAATAAATTCCCTGTGTGACGTGTCTCCCTTTGAATGTCATCAGTTTGTTCTCTGCAAAACCGGATCACCCTAGAAGGTGCCTGGTAGAAGGCTGCGCTGGTTAATGGATGACGCCGGCAGCTGCTATTGTGAAACGGTTGCTTTGTGAATAGGAGTCGCGTGGAGGCAGCATCCTACAAAATTAAAGACACAGCCGGTTTTCCTGTGTGGTGCTGACCATGCATTGAGTGTAAGTTTTCAGAGCACCTGTTGAATAAACAGCTCCAGTTGTCCTTGCTGGGAGGAAGGAAAAAGCCCTAGAGACGTTTGCGTGCAAAACCTGGGAGCACAGGCATGGAACCCGCCATGGACAGAAGAAAGCGAGGACGTCGCAATATCAGCTCTTCTGATTCCTGGCCGCAGATACATTCAGAAAGATGCTGTGGCCCGGGAGGAGGGTGTCACATTGTCAACATATAGATCCTGATCTCGCAGAGGCTGAACACCCAGAGACTTCAAGTTCAGCTGGATAAACTGGGGGTCTAACTGGGTTCCCTCGAGACCACCAAGTTTGAAAGAGTTGGCCCGTGCTCAGAGCGGCACTGCACGTACTGTGCGTTTCTGCAAAATGTCCTTGCTCTCCTCTTCCCCCCCCAAAAAAAACACCCTACCCTTTTGCAAGCACTATAGATGTAGAAAGAAAGGAGACACACACACCACTGCTGCAAAGGCCTTTCTCATGGTCTTTTTGTTTCCCACGCTCTTACCCACACCACTGCCTGCCAGACCAATTCCAGTGCCTCCACAATCCCTTATCACCCACAGACACCCAAATCCCGGCTATGGTTTTCTAGGCCTCACCAGCAAGAGTCTTTCCATTGTCTCTTCATCCCACGCCTCCCTGTTTTATCAAAATTTCGCAGGTTGCTGTATTCCAGGAGTCTCTTTCTGCTCCTGTCTCTAAGGTCCCACGCCACTACTCCCTGCTTTACCACTGCCTCCAAAGGATTTGGTCCAAAGCTAGCTCCAGTTTGTCTACACTTGTTTTCGAAACCCCAGATTATCCCGGGAAGCTTGCACCTGCGTCTATGTCTATTTGTGCCCCCTCCACCACATTTTTGTATGTGCACACAGTCACACATCGCTGGAAATTTTACATCTCGGCACTAAGCTCCATCCTGCACTTTTGTATCTAAACAGACAAAGCAGTGAAGGGTTTGTCCTCCAAACGCCTGCACGAGAAGGAAAAAAGTAAGGCGTATGTCAGAACTGTTGCAAAGGGGTTACAATGAGCGGCAATGAAGAGGCATTGTGGTTTGCACGGCGCACACACAATCCCCTTTCAGGAGACGTTGGTCAGTTGCCAAGCCAGACCTCCCAGGACTGCACTGAAGAAACGGCACCTTTCACAAGTGCCAGGAGAGTGACTTCGCCGATGAGTGCCCCTGCCAGACAGTGTCATCCTGCCCCAGCTGCCCGGCTGCGGGACACGTTTCTGTCGGGGGAGGGGGGTGCGGTGTATCCCCTAGAAATGTGCACAGCCGGATGCTTTTCTCCCTCCTTCCCACGCAGCCCTGGGA